AGCGCTTGTGAGGACACCGCAGAAGGTGACACAGAAGCTTCGGGGCTGTGTGTGCTGCTTGTCAATGCATCTCCACTCAGCAACTTCTGGATGTTGGGCTGCTTCACCAAATCCTGGAACATATTGACACACCGGACCAGGTCTGCAAGCTGCACTTGAGCAGCCACGGCAGATGCTGACGGCCCTGGCGACCTGAGCCCCCATTCAAGGACATCTACAAACCACGAGCAGGGAATTTGTTGTTTAACAAGAACAGGTGAGAGTTCAAGTTATGGGGGGGCGCCGAAGAGGGGAGGTCAGGGGGAGCATCTTCACGCGTCTCACCTTCTTCCGGCTCAACGACACAATCCTCTACAATGCATTTCCTCTTCCCACTCTTCCTGATCTGAGGCTGGCTCAGGCACATGGGAGGGCTCCGGGGGCGGGCAAGACTTAGGAACCACAGGTGCTGGAGGGGGTGGCATAGCCTCTGCCTTCGCTTTGGGGGCCTCTGGCAAGGTCTTGGGTGTGGGAAGGGCCTTGGGCGCAGCTGGGGCTGGAGTTGGGTTTGACTCTTTGGCTGAAGGATCTGACGTCTCGACAGTCTTTTCTGGCTGTGCTGGCTTCTTGAACCGAGACCAATACTTCCCATATTTGGGGTCAGGGCCAACCACTTGAAGCAGAACCTTGGACGTTTCTTCCTCCGACAAGGAATACAACGCCTGAACTTTTTCAAAGTTGGCCCAGCACACCTCAAAGTCTGGCGCCTGGACTGGGGACGCAGACGCTTTGGCCTTGGCAGCAGGTTTTGCCTTGGCCTTACTGGCCCGAGCACGTTTCGGGGCAGGAGGGGTTTCACCTGCATCAGCTGCGACCACATCGTCAACAGCTCTGTCGAAAGCTGCATTCATCTCTCGGGTCTCCCTGTCAACCACCGTCCTTTTCTTGGGCGCCATGCCAAACCGAAGGCTTCAGAAGGCTTCTAGGAGAGCAAAATCACAAACTTGAGCTCTAGATGGTTGATAAAACCACACAGAATAAGCACAAATTGTTATTTTTTGTTTTTACGGTTCGCACGCCGTTTTCATGGCCAAGAGCGTTTTTTTCACGGCCTTTTCACGGGTTTGCACGGTAGACTTTTTGTTGGTCGTTCATGTTTTCTGAAGTTTCTTGAATTCACGAGTAGTTTCTTGAATCCACGAGTAGAGTCTAATGCGTCTAAACTTCTTTCTTTTTGCACGGACCCCACTTCACGCGCCTCTCAAGCATATTCATGTGGCTAAATCCACATTCAGCTACCTAGCGCAGTGCCATCGAGTGAATCAGGCGGTCCTCAGATCGCGCACCGTTTACTTTCCTTGTCTTTTTCAGAACTTGTATGTATGGACATAGGAGATTTCTCTTGCCATGCCCAACTCACCTAAGTCCTATTCACGATTGACACATTTAGTACTTGGGCCGTCCGTAGTAAGCACTAAAGACTTCCTGCGCAACTTCTCACATGGATCAATCAAGCTAGGCTGCCCAATCACCGGGCGGCGCCACATGTTTGTCCGAGGCCAAGTACTGGAGCACCTCCATCATGCCGGCCTGAGGCTGACTTTTCCGGGAAATGGTGTCCCGACCAGGTACACATAGGTCCACTCATGTTTTCCCATATGGTCAGTGCCATATAGCCTACAGGTTCACCCGAAGATGGTATGTTCAAGATGAGTCAGAATAATAAGTCACGCGACATCCTCCCACTCATCATCGAAGGGCAAACACTGGGTCAAGAAGATATCCAAATCCGTCATACTGGCATCAAAAGATGTAGCGGTTTGTTTTGGTCCTGGCAAAGGCTCCTGAGCCAAGCAGTAGCAAAACCAAAACCCACAAGCTGTTCCCTGTATGCTTTCTTTTCTTTGGACTCTATCGCAAAGACAGAAGCGCATGCCTTGAATTTCAGTATACATTGCATACATATGCTTTCCTAAGAGCTGAGGAAGGTACAGGCCGGCGTTCTTCCGCTAGAGCAGCGATGAATTTCCCAAAGTTTGGGGTGTAGTGCCTGGGTGAATGCAAAACCAACACCCCAAGACACATACTCATGTGTTTTCTCGGATTGCTACTTACAAGGCCTTGGGAAGCGCACCAAAAACGGAGCCTCAAAAAAATAGTGTCCATGGGCCTTCTATATTTCTAACTTTCTCCAACTTCCAAAAATGTTCAAAATACACTCGAGAAGGATAAGTTACTGTGAATTGCGAAGTTCTTCCTTCAAACCAACGCACCTCTTGACTCCATTACGGTCTACATATTGTTTCGTGGTTTGCCCACTGCACAATCGCTGGTAGTCCTTGGACATAGACCCTGCCATATTGCACACGGTGTTCAAGAACCCAGCATCGTTGGACCATAGGCGATGAGGTTTTGGCGTCACGGCATTAAAGCGGCCCATGAACATGTTGCAGGTGCGTGCCTCCACATCCACGGGAACACAATGCGATGGCAAGCCTTCTTGGAAGGAGAGGGACTTTCTTTAAGAGAACCGCATTTACACAAACTACTTCATACAAAAGCAAGACCAGACCTGGCCTGTATCACTGACCACAGCCACTGATATCGCGGCATGTTTGGCAGAAATGAGCCCAGTGGTTGTTCCAAAACAAAACGACAACGCTTGTAGCAAGCCAGGAGTATGAGAAGAACAACTCTGGAAGCAAGCTTGTTTCCATCTTGTACGAACCGGTATCCATTGCCCAGCGGCCGCAGGAAATCACGCCCGCTGGTGTGGCGACTCCTGATCAGGCGAGGTGCCAATAACGTGTTCCAACAGTCCAGCGATGGCTTCAAACACACGCTTTTCCACCAAACAGCCAGTCTGAGTTGTAGGCATTCTTGAAAAGGATTTGCAGCGCAATGCGATGAGAATCAAACTGCCGGGCTCACATCGTAGGATTTCGTTGACCGCCAGACTTAGCCACCGACCCACACACACACTGATATTACGCTTGAAAGCTCATACAGTGTTGAGGCCCGTGACAAGTCTCTTTGTTGTACTTGATTTATGTTTATATACACGGTGTCCTTTTGAAAGTCTGTCTTATGGTTTTGCGCACGCACGCCAAAGAACCAAAACCCTCCAGGTGTCAGCAAATCCATCACCCGCTCGTGGTGCAGGATATCGATGGCCACTCCACGGCGCCCGAAGTCCTTTTCTTTTTCAAGCTCGGGGCCACAGAGACAGGAGCAGGGATCGGTGGAGACAAGGTCGTTTGGAGACATTGTGAACCATAGAACCGTAGATCTTATGCACAAAAGGGTTATGTTCGAAGATTCGAAGGTGTTCACAGCTATAGGCCAAGGTGCACTCCTATGTGCTTTGTGAACTCCATTTGGCCAGCAAATAATTCCATAAATTGCCGGTCCTTTGCATTTGAAGCGAATGCCAAGACTATGAATTATTTCTGGTATGTTGCCATTGCCCAAAACATAGCAGAAGCAAAACTTGGGTTCATTGTCGAACAAGATATTGTTTTTTCAAGTATCTTCTGAATGGCGTAGCTGCGAATGCCACTGAACCATCAAGACCATTAAGATCAAGACGCCAGGGCACTTCCATTGCAGCATCTCTGGAACAACCATGTTTGAAGAAACAAACAAAACAGAGCCAGTCTTATGGGCCAAAATTCTGAGTCACCCAGGAATGAGAATTAACGAATGAGGGAAATGTCCAGGAACCCGGTGGCAATTGGAGCTTTAGATAACAGATAAGCATACTTGGCCTGGAAAAAATGAACATGACCAAAGCAGGCAAAGCCTTTTCTTCACATCACTCCGTGTTCGACCGTACACAGAGACACAAGAAACCCCATGGCCACCTTGATTCACAAAGTGACACCCCTAGTGAAAGATTCCTACCTTGCCCAAGGGTTCGTTTGGCAACCCTTTGCAATGAACTTTCTCTTCCTCAGTTCCTTTACAGAAACAGCGCCCAGGTAGTTCTTCTTCTCTTCACTCGAATCCCACTTGGTTCGTGCTTCCTCAAAAGAGCATTTGGCTTCCCCTCGAAGCTTCTTGATGAACTCCGTCTTCCGAGCATTGTAGTCCCAAGGCTTGGTGGCCTTCTCGGCCCCTGAACTCGCCAGGGTCTCAACAGCGGCCGTGGGTTCAACTGAAGAGGCTGGTTGAGGCATCTCAGGCATATCCTGATCACCACCATTCCGTTCAGCCCTCACCTTGTCAATGGCAGCGACATTTTGAGCTGCCAAAGCGAAGGGTGCTGGACTGGGTCCCCCCTCTTCCAAAGTTTTGAGCACCTGAAGTGGTAGGGCGGGCTGAGGGTTGGAAGGAGTGATTGTGTATATTTCAGTGTACATGTGTAAACGGTTTGGTCTTTTCTGGCAACAGCTCATGAACACACGACATGCCAGAAATCCAGCTGGGGCGCATAATTTGGCAACGCCAACTCACTGCTTTTGACACTCTCTTCCGGAGCGGGTTCAGAACCAAGGGTCTTCTTTGTCACCATGGGCACAGGTTCCAACTTCAAGGGCTTCGGGCTCACCGCAGACCCCCCAACCGATTGTTTCAATCGCTCACCAATATCCTTGAGCAATCTCTGTCGCTTCAAGTAGCTCCCGACCCTTTGAGAAGGGGTCGTGTCCGTTTCAACCCCACTCTCAGCACAGCTACCGCTGCCATCCACTTGGGAATTCCCGGATGTTGTTGGCGGGGTCGAGTTTTTTGGAGAAACCCTTCAAGGCTTGCAATGGCCCAATCACCCTCAACAACTTGTCATTCCCGGTGCTGGAAACAAAGGAGGGGTCGGTACCATCCGAACTTGAAGCCACCAATGATGAGCTGACATCCGAAGCCGAGGTTGACAAAGCCTCCAGCTCAGATCCATTGTAGGCTGGCTGTGGCCGGGACTTCCGAACAACCTGGGCGGTCGGAGCCGTTGCAGGATTGTTTAAGAAAACCGGTCATGAAATATGGGCCACGAAGGCAGTGGCCAACCTCCCCAGAACTACCTGCGTTCAGGCAACCTTTGAAGTTGTAAATTCATAGCCAGGCACCCTCAAAGCAGAGATGCGTTCCCTAAGTCGTTGAAGCCTATGGCTCTTTGAAGAAGGTGCCCTTCGCATGAGCTTCCTGACCTTTCCAACCTAGGTGGAACCATTTGGAACAATGGACCTTCCCAAACGCTTTGATTTCCATGTCAAAAACAGTTTAAAACTAAAGACCCCACCATCTTCTTGAGGGCTTCAGCTTGCTTCAAAGCCCACTGCTGGACAGCTGGAATCTCCGCGTAAACCCCTTCTGGAAACAGTTTGTACTTTGAGTAAAAGGCTACCAGCGCCTTCTGCAAAGTGAACTTACTCAAATGGGGAACGCCTTTGCTTCCCCGGACACACGCCACGATCGCCTCCCATGAGCTAGAACACATGAGTTCAACCCATCAGAGTTCAAAAACGACATGTGGTTGTACAACGAACGTTTCACGATGTTTGTGCTTCAGTTAAACTTTTCTGGATCACAGCTGGCCTCTGAGTTTGCTGACAAGTCCTTGAGAGTCACCTTTGCGTTCTTTGTAAAGAGCTTTCCACTGAAGTCCACAAGGAAGGTCATGCCAACCTCAGTGGTATCTCGCTGGTTTTTGCATTTTAACCAGGCATGAAGAAAAACGGAGGGCAGTATTTCATGTGCTGCCTAGCAGCCTTTCTCAACTTAGGTGTCCTCTCAAAAGCTTCCACATATGGCGTGATGTCACTTGGTTGCTGATCATCTTCGCCATTGGAGGGTTCTGATTCGGACCACTCTTCTACGGACACATGGTCGTCGTCAGCCATGATCCACCCCCAAAAAAAGGTTGCAAGATCGAAGCTTGCGCTGGCAAGAGAAGGCTGCAGGGAATGGGCAACAAATTGGCTCAGGATATGGAGAGCTCTGCAACTGATCCTAGGTATACTTTACATCTTGAATAGTCTTTAACACCCCTCTGAAATCCGCAGATTAAACCTGCAAGGTCTTCTGAATCCTCCGCTCGACCGCATGCAGCTCAAACCCAGCGCTGTGGCAGGTGGGCACCTTCAAAGCCATCGAGCTCATGATCCAGCGCCTGGCGCCGCTGGTGGTGGGTTGGCCAAGAGATCTCACTTGTGGATTTGGGAAAAAGATGGGACACATTGTGTTTCAAACAGGGTTTGCGTTTCTTGCGCTTGTGCTCGAAAACCCCAATACAAGCAGGGCTTGCGTTTTTCATTGAAGAGAGCAGAGGGCAGGCAGATCTCAGCTGACCTGTCGGCACTTTCGCTGAGGCTGGCAACGTGCGACTGGAGTGAGCGATACTGAGCGCATGTTCATGCTTGATCTTGGTTTTCAATGGTAAAATAAACAACCTTCAGCACATATGTTGAACAAACTTCACCATCTCATCACACAGATTTCACCTCAACTAAAACGAGATATAGACGACAGAGGTTGGCTAAGTCTGCAGCTTTGCCATGAAACTGTCAAAGAAAAACCTGCCTGTACCCACAGTGTGAAGCCAAACACCATGGCATTGGCAGCCAAGATCAATGCGTAACTTGCAAACTAGCTAGCGGCTAGCACGTGTCACTGCAAAACTGGGCCTGTATATGAACGTTCAGGTAGCTTAGTGAATGTAAATAGGACCAGGGGTGGGACAAAAACGTGTTATATAGATTCTAGATATAGATTATAGATATCACGTTCTTTGATTACCCTTCACCTTGACTTTGCACGGGCCACGCGCCGGTGTCACCGGTCAAAGCTTCCGTCCGACCGACACTCTGCGAAGGAAGGTTTGGATGTCGGACCGTGAAACGGCCAAAAGCGGACTCTGGGGGCCTGGAGTTGGGAAGAATTACATTCAAGTCCAAGTAGAGTTGAATCCAAAGTTTCTGGTTTGAATGACAAAAGGTTTCGATTCTAACCCAACCCACGATCGATCCGACGCGCGACTGCCCATGCATGGACGCATGAACCTGAGCGTTTACACCAACTCCAATTTCACACCAACAACACGGGTGGCATCAAAACGTATACCTATCTTGTGTATATTCAAATCAAAATCAACATTCTCCAGCAGAGCTGTGAGTGGACATTCAGAAAGAACCATAGGAAACACGCGCTGGTGAATTTTGATTGCCTGTGAGTGCGTTCACCTTTATGTTTCCTTTCTGTTTCTTTCAAGTTCCCCCCAAAAGTGTGGTTACACTAGGGTTCTTACAGTGAGTGTTATAAGGCCGCGTGTTTGATCTAGGTGTTGCGTGGAAGCATCCCGCTAATGAACTGCTATTTACGGTGCATTTATACCTCTCAAGATCTTCAAAGTGCATTTTGACTGCGCAGGCTTGCAGAATGTAGTGGGCTGGAGTGGGTGCTTTTCTTGACTGCGCTCCCGTGAGGCATTTCAACAGTATGTCTGTGGATGAAGCCAGCCATATAGGCAATCTCTCACCACAAACCTATTTGGAGGTCATATGGCGATTTCAAGGCCACAGGCCTTTTTTGAGGTCATATGGCCATATGTCCTACGTCCTCCTTTTTTGAGGACAAACGAACCTCTAGGTTTCTGGAGGAAGTCTCGTACGAAACACCGCAGATCTCCCTCTCAACCCCCCGCACTCCCACACATCGGCGTAGCTCGATCACACCTGCGCATCCACATAGTCACTCCTTCACATCCGCCCTCTCCTTCACATCTTTTCTCTGAATAGTTTACATTGCGTCTAGAGGTCATGGCTCTGGGACGTCCATTTGAACTATCAGACCAACACGACTACAGCTTTAGGTCCATAGAAGCGTGGCCTTTGGACGCTGCTGTCATTTACAATCCCACGGATCGAGCAGCACTGTTGCTTGGAAGTTTGAAAGCCGCGTGTAGCTTGGAAGACATTGTGGAGACCACGTCTTTGAAGGTCACTGTGGCGGTCACCATGTGCGCGCAGGAGATGCAGATCACAGACGCACCGACCGACTGGACGAAATACTTTCTAGAACAAGATGTCTTTCACATCCAGTGTCACTTGGAGGACACGACATTGAAGCCGACAAGGCGTTGGCTTGAGCAGATTCCGGACTTGGTGGCTTCCTGTTTGCAACAGTGGAAAATCGTCTGCAACCAGTTATGGAAACAGTCCATGCTGGCGGTCGCCGGGGACAAATCCATGCGCGCGCTCTTTCACTGCTGTGGTGGCATCAATCGGAGCGCGGGGGTTTTGTGCGATTGGCTCGTTGTCGCTTACGAGCACTCCACACTGGAAGCCGTGCAGTCGCTACTTCAGAAAAGACCAGCGTTGCGTCCTTGGCGCAATCGACCCTATGTCTTGGAAGCGTTGTGGCACCTGGAAGGTTTGCGCGCGTGTGGCATGGCCTTGTCCGTCTCTTGGCCGCGCTCCTGAACTCTGTCAACTCTGTGGCTGGGCTTTGTGGCTGAGCCTTGTCCTCTTTGTCCTCCTCTTGGCCGCACCCCTGAACTCTGTTCAACTCTGTGGCTGGGCTCTGTGGCTGGGCCTTGTCCTCCTCTTGGCCGCGCCCCTGAACTCTGTCAACTCTGTGGCTGGGCTGTGTGGCTGGGCCTTGTGCTCCTCTTGTCCTCCTCTTGGCCGCGCCCCTGAACTCTGTCGACTCTGTGGCTGGGCCTTGTCCTTGTCACAGCCTCGCCGGGCTCTGTGTCCAGGCTCTGTCAACTCTGTGGCTGGGCACTGCCTTCAGGCCTTGTCCTCCTCTTGGACGCGCCCCCTTCAACTCTGTGGCTGGGCTCTGTGTCCAGGCCTTGTCCTCCTCTTGCCCTTGGCCGCGCCCCTGAACTCTGCTGTGGCCAGGCCTGGCCCTCCTGAACTCTGTCAACTCTGTGGCCAGGCCTTGTCCTCCTCTCTGTGGCTGGGCTCTGTGGCCTTGTCCTCCTCTTGTCCAAGCCTGTTGTCCTTCTCTTGGCCACGCCCCTGAACTCTGTCTGGGCTCTGTGGCCGGGCTGACAGAGTTCAGGAGGACAAGGCCTGGACACAGAGCCTGAGTTCAGGGTGCGGCCAAAAAGACACCTGAACTCTGTCAACTCCTGTGGCTGGCTGTGGCTGTGTCCTCGTCTTGGCTGCGCCGGGCTCTTTGTCCAGGCTTTGCCCTCCTGTTGTCCTTCTCTTGGCCGCGCCCCTGAACCCTGTCAACTCTGTGGCTGGGCTCTGTGGCTGGGCCTTGTCCTCCTCTTGTCCTCCTCTTGGCCGCGCCCCTGCTCTGTGCTCAACTCTGTGTCGGCGCGCGCTCTGACATACGCTCCAGAAAGGCGCGCTGAGAGCGCGCTCTACAGAGAGAAAGACAAAGAAAGATAAACTTAAAGAGAGAGAGAGAGAGAGAGAGAGAGAGAAAGAAAGAAAGAAAGAAAGAAAGAAAGAAAGAAAGAAAGAAAGAAAGAAAGAAAGAAAGAAAGAAAGAAAGAAAGAAAGACAGACAGACAGACAGACAGACAGAAAGAAAGACAGAAAGACAGAAAGACAGAAAGACAGAAAGACAGAAAGACAGAAAGACAGAAAGACAGAAAGAAAGACAGAAAGACAGAAAGACAGAAAGACAGAACGAAAGAAGGAAAGAAAGAAAGAAAGAAAGACCCGCGCGCGCGCTGAAATACGCTCCAGAAAGGCACGCTCAGGGCGCGCTCTGCAGAGAGAAAGACAAAGAAAGAGAAACTTAAAGAAAGAGAGAGGGAGAGAGAGAGAGAGAGAAACAGAGAGAGAGAGAGAGCAGGTTCTGGACGGCGCGATCCGGCGGGCGCTCTCTGACATACGCTCGACAAAGGCGCGCTCATAGCGCGCTGCACAGAAAGAAAGACAGAGAAAGAAACACTTAAAGAATGAGCGAGAGAGACAGAGAGAGAGAGAGAGAGGGGGACAGAGAGAGAGAGAGAGAGACAGACAGACAGACAGAGAGAGAGAGAGAGAAGAGAGAGAGAGCAGGGCGAGCGCGCGAGCGCTCGTGCGCTATGGACGGCGCGCGCGCGCGCGCTCTGAAATCTGAAATACGCTCCAGAAAGGCGCGCTCAGGGCGCGCTCTGCAGAGAGAAAGGCAAAGAAAGAGAAACTTAAAGAGGTAAGTCAATGTTTTCATCCGCTTGGGGGCACCTTGGTCATCTACTTGAGGGCCAGTTGGAGCGCTGTCATCACCTCTACCGCTATGTGGAAACCACAATTTGGGGTTGAGATACTAGACTAAAGACAAGTCAGGGTTTGGTTGAGACAAGGTGCCACTTTCATAGAAAACCTCGCATTCTGCATCGCTTGTCTGCAAAACTTCATTGTCACTCTCGGAGAACTCATCTAAGACCTCACTGTCTGATTCGGCGGGGATCTCGTCCGCAGTTCTTTCTTGCCAGCGCGGTGGAGCACCAGTCAATGCAAAAGCTAACTCGGCCTCCTGGGAACTAGAAAGACAAAGGGTCTTCAAACGTGTGAGCTCCCCAAGTAGGTATCATAGTTTGTCACAAAAACAAAACTGATACTTTGCGCCTTCTCTGAGTGTTTCAGTGCACGGAAACGTTCACGTTCTAAATGCACACCAGCCGTGCAATGCTGGAATTGCTGAAAGCAGCAGCGAGCACTGCACCGGCAACCTCG